GGTTCTCCACAATTTATAATTATCTTTGCAATAACCTTTTTTTGTGCGTTAAGACGTTTTGTAGCCAGACGGGGCACTTGTGTACAGATCACAAATGATCAGGGTACAAATTTCGTCAAGGCTATTAGAGAGCCTCACAATCTCTCTAAGTCTGCGGCTGAAAGCTTAACCCTGTATCTGCCTTTGCGCGACACTTTATTGAAAAAATCTAATATTGACATAGGTTATCAGTTATGACTTATAGTTGCATGCAAGCAACATTGCGAGATCAAGTAAAGGTTCTATTGTTACTTGCAAGCAACATTGACCGATAAAGGTAAACCTAATTGCACTGGTTTATATGGAAATACAACTATACATTTCAAATAATTTATTCATAAAACGAATTTCAAGAAATAAACAAAATATATATTTCTAGTTTCACAAAATACAATGTGATGAAACAGCTAAATCTAATTGGAATGGAAAAAGTTGAAACAATTCTTATTTGGGGTGAAACAAAGCCTAAGATTGCACTTGATACAAAAGATTGCTGTAAATCCATTGGCACAGTGCCTGCATCTACCTTTGGTACCTATTTTGACCTATGCCATCTTTTTGGGTGGTGATATCAGGTCTCGGCAGTATAGGGTTTGATATTATTTTCGCAGGGATTTTATTAGTCAAGGAAATGGATGGTCTGCAACGGGAACTTTGTTTTCCTGCGTTGGCCAACGATTAACGATTTGGCTAATTCCATACGGTACTCCTTTAGCGGTTTTTACGTTACACGTGCTGTGTTGCAGTCCTTTCTATACAGAAGCCAGGCATTGATCACTGACATATCAAGAACCCATGTGAAAATTGGGAAGTACCATCTTTTCGATCTGCTTGGATTGCGATACAGACCAAGTAATGAATTGGCCTTATCGACACCGCCCATGTGCTTATTGTATTGCGTTATAACGGATGGACAAGGGATGGCAATTTTTTTCTTTTCCACTTCCGAATATCTTTTTATCGATTTTACGAGATTTAAGCCTCAGAATGTACTTGCTAATAGAACACATTTATTGTCACCCCATTTTACTACTATTATACCTTTGTCTGCATCTGCTGTATAAACGTAGGAACCTCTTCCCCTTTTTTGAAACACTTCATCGGTTTCAAGTTGACATCCAGCTATTCTGTTAGACCTTATTGTTTCTAAACTAAGTACCCCGAATCGGTCTTTCAGATAAATAAGTAATTTTACACTTGAAAATTGTCACAGAATATAACAGTGTTTTTCGGTTCGCTTAGGGTTTCGCACAGACAAATGACGGCGCTAGCACCTACACCTAGATTCACTTCATAATCATCTAGCTCATTCGGAGATCCTCTAAGCACTTCAAATGTCGCAGCTCCCTGATAGGGTATGAAGTCGGCAATATAACCAGAAACCCCAGCACGAATACAAAATTTAAACCCCCATTTGTGGGATTAATTTTGGATATACTGCCTCAAGTTGCCCGCATATGTGCCTTTGTAAGACACCATTGTTTCATCAATTAGTATTGATTTTCAAACTGGAGTTTATAACAGCTCTTGCGTACAATTTCTAATAATGGTCTAATTTTGAAATATCGATCCTTGGTCTGGTCTGTTATGTTAGTATTATCATTGAAATTGATAAACCGTCTTAGTTTCTGAAACCTCTTCAGAGGCATTATATTGGCCACGTGATCTACTCTTGTACTAGCTGCCCAAAAATCTTCTATGGCAGGAAGTTTTATTACACCTATAATCAAGAGTATAGATAGAAAATCCGTTATTTCTGACGGATTTGTATCAATACATTGGCCAAGTTGCTGAATACTATAAAGATTTGTCTGATAGACTATTTTATCCATTAGATCAAATGAAAAAAACTTTGTAAAATACTTAATGGGAACTGCAATGTTGTCAGGTTCAGGAAAGTCTGGTGAAGGTATGTTAGCAGAAACTATGTCAGCTTCAATCCAAGAATATGATTCAGTTTTTCGTCTTTGTGGTGGTGGCGGCTCAGTTTCATCGTCACTCTCTTCGAATTCAGAATTACTTTCTGGAACTAGCATGTCAAGTCCTGAAGACACTTCTTCTTCATCGTTAAGCTCATTTGTTTGGAAAATATTTTCTCCGTCACTGAAATCGTCGTCTGAGACATCGGAAATATGCGGATCTGTGGGAATTACGGTCGGTGCCTTCTTTCTGCCGAAAAAACATGTAGTGCTTAAGAAGAAGAACAAAACATCAGGCTGGAATGTCAACAAGGAGACTGGCTCGTCAATACAGACCTTCTAAGAGTACGATCATTTTCGAAGCTACAACATACTCCTTCGTGCTCCTATCCACCACCATTCAAGTAATCTAAGACCCTACACATCTCCAGAATGTTAGCATTAGAAAAACGACTGTCAGTCACGGTCGACTGATGGTAATTTTGTATACAGGAGATGATTTGCATTTTCCCCCTGGTTTTATACGCGGACGAGATTCGCGATAAGCCAACTTCTATTTATACAAACAGATACTTCCTTGGGGTGTGCGGTAGAAACGCCTAATACAGCGGCTTATGCTTTTAAAATGGAGTAATACGTTTTCAGATTGAAATACAAGCACGATTTTGAGCTGCCGAACGAGTATATTGCATTGCTTTGTTTCTATGAAAATAGTATTCGAAAAAGTTGTTATCTATAGTTTACTGAAGGTCGAAGACCAAGTTGCTTGTCAGTTACCAATATAAGTATGAACGCAATGAAGAGAGCAGTTAGCTTAGCTTGGCTTCAGCACCATTTATTTGGGAATTCTTTAACAAGATCCACGACATTTTTATAGTATTTTAATGGAGAAACACGTCATTTCGATGGGCAATATATTCGCTTTGGGCGATTTATAGGTATGATGTTATGCGACCTACTTATCTTGTTCCATCGTTTTGTGCAATCAATTGCCTTTGTTCTCCAATCAGAATAAATACAGCATTCCTTATTGGAGTGATAATGTTCTCTCCTTCAACAAAAAATCTGCTGCTCAGATTTACAGCCACTACTTTCAAAGAAAAACCAACTCATAGTAAGCACGCATTACAATTTCATGTATCTGTGTGTAGAAATATTTTTGTATGGTTTCTAAATGATGGAAATATTTCCCTGTAGGAGACGGACATATCTGAAATATGAAATACGTACTACCATTATATCACCTTTTTGGAAAACACAGAGTGACGATATAGTTTTGTAGAAGTGGATTGGACTTTTCTATGTTTGTGATACTTTTAATTCCCGTGAAGCTATTTTATATGTTTTCTGAAATTTGCAGCTTATAGCTAGAGTGTCGTGGAATTCATTAGCAGGTTTGTATTTGTAAGGAATATGCACCAGATACCACGTATTTATGTATTTTTTCCTGTGTCACACGTTAGGAAATTTGAAGACTGTAAGTTGAGTTTTGCAGCTCTAGGCCACTCATTTGACAGATGATGTCAAGTCAAGTTTTGTACTTGTGTTGCTTGAGAATGCCGTAAATAAAACTCTGATGTGTGTCAGTCCAAGAATGGAAGAACCTTTGAGAATAAAAGTGATGTCAAAAACGTTTATGCACTGTTTTCTCCAAAAGCAGAAAGACGTCAACCTGACTCGAATACAGTTGCGTCTTCTTTGTGTTCTCACCACAGACAACTTCACAGCAGCTGACATCCCTGTTTTGAGGTTGTTGAAAAGGTCATATAGTTACTAGTAAGAATGTGGGATATAAACAGACTTTTATTCCTAAAACACATTCTTACCGCACTTTAAGCATATGGAATACAAATAGGCTATTTGTGTTCCTAACAACATTGGCTGAAAGCAAATCGGGTGTACGTATTTTATAAATAAAATCTAGCCAGATCAATCAATACTTTCCCCATTACTCACCAAAAACTTGGATATAATACAATGAGCAATAGTCGACTTACGGAAGGTAACACCTTGTCGGCAAACATATTTCTTGAGTACGATGATCACTAACACACTTCTAACTTGACTGTCACATTTCTAGTTTGAAGGAGAAATAATATGAAAGAACAAAATTTCTAACGTTGCCGAACTTCCTAAATGTTCTTCAGGCATCTACTAACAGAATATCAAGGCATTTTCGGAGGTATTGATTTTGGAAGACCTATTTTTTTCAGTCGTATAACTCTGCTTTAGTAAGAGAGAGTAGCAGCCAGCGGCCGCCCATAATGCTGTATCTCTCGGGCTTCACACAAAATAGTTATTCAGGACGCTCTTAGTTAATAATTAAAAAACATTGGTTTTACAATAAAAGTAGCTCCTGAAGTGACTTGGGATTTTGTTAATGGATTTTTAAAGGATATACAACAAGTTCGGCAACATTAAAAGTTTCGTTTTTTTATATTGTTATCGGGAAAAATGACATACTTTGCACTTTTTCAAATATTGTATCGCCTATAGGTATCTCGAAAACCATCAACCTTAGAGAAGAGTTCTCAATTACCTTTTTTGTTCAGGATGTCCTAAAAAACCTAGAAACACTTTGATCGGGACAATTTTTGGAATCTGTTTAAAAAATGATGAAACAATGATACCTGTACTAGTTCGGGTTGAGGTCGCAGTACGTGTATGAAGGATAGTCACTGAGATCATTATTCGCGTGCCTGATGTTGAAGCAGGTTTTGTTAGAGCCACTCAGGTAGAAAGGCTTATCAGTATGGCCCTGTCGTCGGCCTCTCCTGCCCAAAAATGTGGCATACTAACTAGAACTATTTAATCGCGCGACACACATCACGTCAAGGTAAATCTTGCATCATTTCATCACGGTGAGTAGCTTTGCGCTAAGTACACATACCAAAAGTATTAGTTACTCCTTTCCCCATCGTGCATATGGATCCCTGTGTTCTAGCTACTAAACACCTAAGGTTGCTTCCTGTTTTTGTCTTCAGATACTTTGCTTGGTACCAGCTGCTTCTTTATTGGTTGAATATCAATCAATTAGTCTTCGCTTAAATGCTTTACAATGTCCTCTGCTCCGTCAGTTTCTGACCTATTCAAGCTGGAAGTTACATAAAAATCCTGTCGAATGGACCAAAGGGATCTACTATTTATACACAAAAGGCCTCTACCGGATTCCTACGCAGAGTATATCTCGCTGGAACGTTAGTAATCGTAATGCAGGTATCGCCACATACAAATGATGTATTTCTCGCTGCTCGCTATAGCATCGGGAGAAAGTCATCGTCGGTGTAGCAATGGAAAAGATAAGTTTATTGTTGGCAGTCGCACTCTGGCACACTTCATTTCCCTGCGTGGTCTTTATCTCACCGCCGAGTTTATCCATTTCCTTTGGCGGCACGGCTCTCTCTAGCAGCCGGAAAAGCCACCAGCGCAGCGACGAGAAACGCCAGAGAGATAGTGATGCTGCTAGTGAGCCCTGAAAACAGAGGCGTCGGAGTTCATAAATAAGGCAGAGACGTTTTAAGGGGATTTCTAAAGGGTTGTTCATTACATTATGACCAAACAGGTATGATAAACCCTATCCAAAACTTTGCTGGTGACGCTTTACATGCAGGCATTCAGAGTGTCGAACAGAGCTCTATGAGCCGGAGACTGGTAGTGGCATCTGCTGTCACGTGATATCTGAAAGTTATTGTAGCTTGGGGATATAATAATCTGGTACAGTTTTATTCTCCGCAAACACATTATCGTGCCTTGACTGATAAGAAGTGTTCAAGCATTTATGCGGTTCAATGAGTTCTCCCAAGGAGCCAAACGCGACAACTGCTGGACGACAGTTGGGTTTCCTTGTAACCTCATCACTCTGTAAGAGACCCTGAAAAGACCCAGCCTAGAGTACTGCTCACATGCTTAAAGTTGTCCTCCCCAATTATACTGTCCATACTCGACGCTATTCAGAGGAGATCTGTCCGAATGGTCACCAATCACGTATCTAACGGCACGTCGACGGACGACTGGCGATCTAGCTCTCCTCTATCGCTATGCTAACGGATCTTGCTCCTCAGAGCTCTCTTCCAAGATGCCATCTCGCTTTGTACCTGCCAGATGAACATTGTCTCCCATCCTAATTCTGCGAAGCTCCAGAACAGCCAGAACTGGCCAGTAGGATCGCTCCTTTGTTTCAAGGCCAGCTCCTCCAGGCGATTACAAAACCGAATAAGCAAGCTGGCTGTAACACCTTTACATCAAACGCGGTCCCTCAGTATTTGTGTGTAACAAATCTATTATAGATTTGCTTGTAGATCAGCCGTTTTATCTCATGGAATCGCTTAATATACCTATCATGTTATATTCTCAAAGAAGATAGCCTTGCTTATTAACGTAACCATACCCCAAAAGTGCATCGTCGCAAAAGATGATATTTGCTATAATAGTCATCAGATTCAAAGTATTATAAGTTCATTAGATGATGTTTAAAGGCGGTTTTGAGTTTCAAGTCAAGGTATCACCTATCTTATACAGGTGAAATTTATCGAAAACATTTTACAGCTCTTACTCCAGAATACATCCTCACAGACATAAGAGCAGAAATTCTTCATAAAACTGCTTGCGATTCTATATTGCGCTTTCTGCCACTGAATAACATAATGCACAAGGTGGAATATGCTTCTATATACAGGGTGTTTCAGTTTATTGTTGCATAACTTTAAGATTCGATAGAACTTTTAAAATTAATGCATAAAGTCTATATAAACATGGGTCGAAAAATGCGTGGTTTCCGAAATACAAGGTGTTTAAATTTACTTTCTAAAATAGTAAAACGAACCATGGACATAAATTTACTGTAGCCGCTAGAGGGCGCTCTCTACTGTACCTGTAGTGTATTAAAATGAACGAAAATTTTTTCTTAGTGCAATTTTTTGCTTTTTGAATAAAAAAACTGATTCTTCGCACTTTGCAACTTAAAAAAGCTCTCTTGTGAATTTTCGTTATAGTTAGCCGTTTTTGAGATATTTCGATTTTTAGGGTTCGATGGATTTTTAATTATTTATGATAAAATAACGTTAAAAAGTCAGTATCGCGATAATTTTTAGAAGTAGGCTGCGCCTGCAAATATTTTTGAAATTGAAAGCAGAATAAGGTTAAACGTCAGTTAGTTGACAGTTAGTTTTGTTGTCTGTTGAAACCTGAAACGTTTTTTTGCAATTGTGAATGCACGAAATTTAGTTTCTTTTAAATGTTTTTTTTTAAGTTTTATAAAAATGCCATTTTTATTCTCCAATCAAGAGTTAGCGGATATTCATTTTGTGTATGGCTTTGTAAATGGAAACGCAGCAGAAGCAGCCAGAGAATACGCACGAAGGTTTGAAAACAGACGACATCCAACTCGCTCAGTATTTGTAAGAGTGCATCGCCAAATAATTGAGAATGGTTTTGGAAATCTCCAAAGGGATCAAAACATAAATGTTCGTCAGCGCAGATTTACCCGTATGATTCTGCGTGAGTTTGATAGAGATCCGACCACAAGTGTTAGGAGAGTTTCTGGTGCCTTGGGAATTTCAGCAAGCCATGTTCACCGTGTTATTAGAAATGACCATAGACGTCCTTACCATTTGCAACCTGTGCAAGGACTACAGCCAGGGGACGGAGAACGAAGAATCACATTTTGTCAGTGGATTCTTGATAGAACTGATAATAATAGGGAGTTTTTAAGTTACGTTTTATGGACCGATGAGTCATGCTTCACTAGACGTGGAGTGGTAAATTTTCATAATCAACATATTTGGTCGCATGAAAATCCGCATGCAGTTCGGGAAAGAAATGTTCAGCATGAATTTAGTGTGAACGTGTGGATTGGTATCTACCGTAATCGACTATTTGGACCCTACCTTTTGCCTGCAAGGTTAAATGCTGCGACCTTCTTGGAATTTTTAAAGGCTGACCATGCAAATATGTGGGATGATGTTACGTTAGATTTAAGAAGATTGGCCTGGTTCCAGCTTGATGGTTGTCCAGCTCATTATTCGAGAATAGTTAGAAACTGGCTGGACGAAAATTATCCAGAAAGATGGATCGGCCGTGGAGGACCAGTCGCCTGGCCTCCGCGATCCCCTGACCTAAATCCATTAGATTTCTTTGTATGGGGATTTCTAAAAGAAAAAGTGTACCAGACTCCCGTAACAACAAGAGATATGCTAATAGACAGAATCAGGAATGCATGTGATGAAATAAGGCCTTATTTGAATAATGCTACACTACGTTCGATCATTCGTAGATGTGAATTGTGTATTGAACAATTGGGTTTACATTTCGAGCAACTACTTTGGGTTTTTTATGTTTGTCCTAACTATCCAATAGCATTTTAGTTGTAAATAATTAATTTAATTTGTTAAAAATAATATTGGAAAATTAAACAAATTAATATTCAGTTTTTTTGTGTTTATTTGGAGTTAGGAATTATTGCTGTGTTTAAAAACACAATCTAAACGATCATCTTAATTACTTGTAATGCCCAGATCGAAAATGTAAAAAAAAAATATTTTTTCCCATAAATAATTAAAAATGCACCGAACCTTAAAAATCGAAATATCTCAAAAACGGCTAACTACAACGAAAACTCACAGGAGAGGTTTTTTATGCAGAAAAGTGCGAAGAATAATTTTTTTTTCATTCAAAAAGCAAAAAATTGCACTAAGAAAAATTTTTATCATTTTAATACACTACCGGTACAGTAGAGAGCGCCCTCTAGCGGCTACAGTAAAACTATGCCCATGGTTCATTTTGTCGTACCAAAAAACCCTTGTATACCAACTTTCACTGTTATACATAAAATATTGTTCGAAATATTTAAAAAAAACTATTTTAAAAAGTAAATTTAAACACCCTGTATTTCGGAAGCCACGCATTTTCCGACCCATGTTTATATAGACTTTATGCATTAATTTTAAAAGTTCTATCGAATCTTAAAGTTATGCAACAATAAACTGAAACACCCTGTATACAGGGTGTCCGCAAAGTTGGGGTTTTCCTTTTCAGAAACAACTACCCTTGAAATAACAAAGGTAATGTGTAGTGAAACGAGGGCGACCAAGTGAAAAAAAATAAAGGAAAAAGTACTCACTCTCCAGTTGACGAGAAGGGCTAAGTACGTCTCTGCCTGAAATCGAAAATTATTCACCCCATTACGCGTGAACGTAGATTCGTCTGTCACCAATATGCACTTCAAAAAGTCCGGATTATTGTCATGTTGATGCAACAACCTCTCACAAAACCGCACTCTTGCTGGAAGATCGTCAGGTTGAAGGGCTTGTACACGTTGGACGTTTGCCACACTTTAGTTTTTGATATTTGCACTTCTCTAGCCACGTCTCTAGTGCTTGTTGAGGGATTCTCGTCTACGCGATTCAGTAGTTCTTCCTCAACTTGCACCATTCGTGGTTGTCTAGGCCTCCCACTGTGCCCACCTCGGAATTCCTCCAAATGGCCCGTATCCCTGACTCTCTGATACACAAATCTGCGGGGCCTTGGATGATGTCGTCTAGGGAAACGATCTGCATACACTCGCGACGATTCTGTATCACTTTGAAGACATTCGCCATAAATTAACAACATATCAACGAGTTCATTATTGGTGTATGGGTTTTTGAAACGCAATCGATTATACGGGTTCGTTACCTCTATACGCGTGACCCTTTACCGTCGGTTGAAGGTTGCATACTGACCTGACACACTGACCCCAACCCCCGACCCAGTTCTGTCGTCGGGTTCAGCTAGTACCCGGTACCAGTCTGAGATATCGCGGGTCGCGGCTACAGGACGGTATTCAGATATTTTTGATGTTGCAGAGCCCTTTATCTCGGTTCCCTTAAGACATTGGTGTATATGGTACTAAGAAAAATTGCTTATGTTTTCAAGATCTACACGTCGTGTAAAGGAAAACCCCAACTTTGCGGACACCCTGTATACACCGAAGGTTCCTAATATGCGAGACCATTTGCCTGTCATATAGGTCCTAATAAAAAGTATAATAACACCCGAAGGTTGTTGTTGAAATACCTACAATCAGTTGTACAGTCCTTCATATCATACTCAAGTAAAAGCGCAGAATCAAAAAAGGGAGACGAACATGTTTTAAAAACGGTGATTCAACAGTTGCGATGGCAATGGAGCTGCTCTGATTATTGTTACAAAAACACAGTTTTACTGTTTAAAGTCTAGTTTTGAACTCTTACACTTACTCAAGCTTATAACTTGTCGACTTGACTATCTCGTTCTTTGCTGCCAGCTACTCAAAACCCTATTCGCTGTCATTCGCAGCATTTTCTAAATGGCGGAAGATGCTTCTCGATCCGTATCGAACGCTCTCAATACCCTCGCACACACTCACGTATTCTGGGTGCAGGCTATTCTACCCTTGATGCACAGAGGCGTAACTCTGGCTGCCTAAGCGTCGATATGGCGAGGACGTTTCATCGTTACTCGAGGTACCAGCTATGAGGGCGTTACAATATTTTAACGTCAAGGTCTCACAATACAGTACTAATGAAGATAAATCTAAATCTAAATCTTGGTCATAATGGAGGTAGTGTACCACGTTATGATTTTCCTACTGGTTCGCATTAGCAGCATATTAGTTTAATAAAATCACATTCGTTAGACGTTAAATAGAACAGGCGGACTTCTCTTGGCTGTCCAGACTGTCAGAATATCTTATTCTAGGCAATGTTTACACATACCACCAAAGATTTGTATTTATATCTCTTATGCTAGGCCAAAAATTTAATTTTTGATTAACTTTTTCTAAGAAGTAAAACATGCCTTGTGATTTATTGTTATACTTGAGCCATCACACACAAATACAGGTTACAATTACTGTAAGTACAAACCTGTTTCCAAAACTGCATTTCTCCGTTTCAGTGGCACTTCGCTATTGTATTTGCAATTCGAATGTCCTGCCTTGGCGGTTATTTTGCAGAACTAACCGCATAAAATTCAGCTTAAGCTATTGTCAACAGGAAGAACTTTTACCACAGCGGTGATATTCGCATACATTCCTACTCCTTGGGCATATTTTATGGTAAAGTCACCATATTTGGGACCGCGAGTTGTCTTGAGGAAAAGAATGGTATTGTTGGTAAGGAATTTCGACGACGGATGGGGCATATAACTGTTTTGTTTTTAAATGGTGAAATGTACCGCAGCTTGTTTTACGGGTTGTTATTGATGGAGTTTACTGAAATTTGACTCATTTTACTCGTTTCTATGGAGCTATCAGAAGACAGAAATTGTCAAAGTGACAAGAAGGTGGCAGGTAGACGTAGTCAAGAGGAGTGTAAGCTGTAGGCCATAGATTGGGGCTAGACCGTAAATTACGGTGTTATAGGTTGTGGTAAGCCTTACGAGATTAGATTAGGTTAAAGCCTTAAGTTTAGAGTAGAATATAGCTTAGAAAGTGGCGCCATGTCATTTCTCCTTATGAGGCATAGCACTCACAGTTAAAATTAGCTGATGTCTATGTGCCAACTGAAAATGAAGTGGCAAGAGGAAATTGATGTCTTAGTGTATACATGTTGTATTTACAGATTTACCAAAACCCATAGTTTGTATAAACCACCCCATTCTCCAAGAAAAACATTTCAATTATTGTATTAGGAGGATTGCGAATGAGTTAATAAGATCTTATCTGGCGGATAGAAAACAGAGAGTGTATAGTATAATGGGGAAGTGAGTAATGAATTGTTTGTACATAGAAGGCTTCATGGTTGGGTCATTTCTGTTCATTATGTACATTAATGGTTTACCTGAACACATGAAAACCTTCAATAACGGCATAATAGCAACGATGTACGCTACTGATAGTTTTTCTTTAAGTAAAAATAGAATTGAAGGAAATATTGTCTAAAAAATTGTTTTCATCAGATTAATTATTTTTAAACAATCAAAAAACCTTAAATAGTCTGTACATCCAATTCATGCAGAAATTTAGATGCATCACATGCAAAATTCTTTGGTGTGCAGTTTGACTCACATAGGACTGGGACGTTCCGCATTTTTTTTATATCGAAACAGCCGCGCAGGCAGAAGCTTAAATGCCGGAACACCGCGGCTGCTATGATGATCCCAAAGAAATTTTGTTAATACGATTTTTGAACTGCCTAAGGTTAGAAGAACTGGGAAAAGCTTCCTCCCGTAGATTGTTCCACAATCTAAACACCCTCGGGACAAAGGAGCGGTCGTATCGGCCAGTTCTGGATGTACGAAGTTTGACACGGTTAGGATGGGACGCCGAAGTCAGGCGGGTCTGTCTGGCAGGCACATCGCGCGGCGGCATCATGGAAAAGAGCTCTGAGGAGCAAAGCCCGTTGGTGTAGCGATAGAAAAGAGCTAGATCGCCGACGACCCGCCGGTGCGAAAGAGTCCCGAGTCTGTTAGAGAAGAGTCATCGATCAGTCGGACCGCCCTGCTCTGGACAGCATCGAGCATGGACAATGTAGTCGGGGCGGCAGCACACCAAATGTGTGAGCAATACTCGAGGCTAGGCCTTATCTGGGCCTTGTATAGAGTGAGAAGGTCATGCGGAGAAAAGTACTTCTTAGCCCTAAACAAATATCCTAGCTTTTTCCCAGCAGCTGCAGCTATTGAAGAGATGTGTTCGTGCCAGATCAGGTCCTCGGCGATCTGGACTCCGACCAGCCGAAATGAATGGCTCTTTGGTAGAACTCGGCCGTCCATCGAAACTGTATGAGCGCTAGGACGCTTTTTGTTCGTCAAAGTACAGTACTGTGTTTTGGAAGCATTGAACTGTACAATATTGTTGCGTCCCCAAGCAGCGATAGCGTCCAGGTCTCTTGTCAGAGAAGAAGTCGTCGCTAGTCTTCCTTTTTCCAGCTCAGCGGCAGAGATCGGCCCGTCACTCTGAATTCCTGCATGTAGAGTGCTGTCATCAGCGAAGCTGTGGATTGGGTTGATCGTGCAGGAAAGGAGGTCGTTGATATGTAAGAGAAACAGTGTTGGAGCCAAGACCGATCCCTGGGGAACACCCGCGTTGACGTTGTGGGATGAAGAGGAGAATCCGTCAATTACGACGGATATCTTGCGGCCAGAGATAAAGTCAGCCACCCATCTGCAAAGCTTTTCTGGGAGGCCATAGGATGGAAGTTTGCTTAAGAGGGCAGCGTGCCACAGCTGATCGAACGCTTTCGTGATGTCAAGAGCAACGACATGAGCCTCACCATGAGACTGGATGAGTTTACTCCACAGTTGCGTGACGTAAGCTGGGAGGTCTCCTGTGGATCGTTGGTGCCGGAAACCGTACTACCTGTCGCTAATCAAGCTGTGACGTTCGAGGTAGTCCAGAAGCTCGCGAGTTATGAACCTCTCCATCACTTTACTTATAACAGAAAGCAGAGCTATAGGCCTGTAGTTGTGAGGGTCGGTCTTAGATCCTTTTTTTGGGATGGGCAGTACATGAGCAAATTTCCAGTTTTCTGGGAAGGTGCCGGATTCATAAGATATCTGGAAGAGACGCGAAAGAACTGGAGCAAGCTCCGCTGCACATCTCTTCAGTACAATGGCAGGAATCAAGTCCGGACCAGAAGCTTTGTTGATATCGAGCGACAAGAGCACTCCTCTTACGGTCTTATGCCTGAATGTTACCTCCCGCATAGTGTGAATTGATGGCACTTGGGCGTTGGTGGGGACGTCCATGGTGGAGTTGGCAGCAAAGATCTTGGCTAGCACTTCCGCCTTGGCCTTTGAGTCGAATACAATAGTTCCATCCTGACACGTGAGTGGTGGAAGGCTACTGTGTGAGAAGTTCTTTTCAATCTGCTTGACCAGCGTCCGGAAAGACCGACTGCCATTGCGCTGCTACATTACCCTGTGCCTAACTTTTATATCATGCTGGTTTTGGCATTGCGAACCGCTTCGTTATATTTGTTTCTGGACAGATAGTCGACGCATCCGCGTCAGTGAAATAGATATCTCTCCAAGGAAAGCTAGAGAAGAAGTCTCTGAGCCCCTTCCAGTCGGCATGTCCGTAATGCGAAGTTTTGCGGCCTGTGCGGGTTTCTACTGCCACAGCGGCTTCTGACCGAAATCTAACCTCCACAACACCGCGCTTAGCTAGGGAATGCCTCACATTCTCAGTTACAGAATTTTTTTCTGATTCAAAAGGCAGCAGTTAGAGCTAAGCACAATGAACAATGCCTCGAAATATTCAGAAGCCTTAAAATAATGACACTATTTGCAGTGATATTATATCAGAATTAATAATGCATCTGAGGAAAAACTTGTGCGATTAATGCACTCTATGCGATATTCACGTATACTATATATTAATATAGCCAAAAGCCTTGCAGTTGTATATTATAATAAAATTCCTGAGAGTGTTGGTGGTGTTGGAGCCTTTCAAAAGAAAGGTCAAACCAATTTTGATGGACATTGGACATATAGCGGCATATAATGTCGATGAGGTTCTAGATCACTCTAAGTAAGTTTAGACGGATTTTGGTGAAACAGCAAGCTCTACTGCAGGTTTCCAGTTTTTAATTTCTATATTTTACGTTTTTAATATGTCTGTATATATATGCATATATATCATATTTGTGTTTACCTTACTAGGTGTTATAATTTTCATATGATGACTGCGTTACAATATATACAGTCATGCTTGATGAAATTGTCATTAATATGTGTATTTATTGTGTTTTCTACAATATTTTATCTGTTTTTTATAATTGATTATTTATTGTCCGAAACCTTCGACTCACCAAGTGTCATTGTACAATATCTATCTATCTAGAACTAACTATTGTCATCGAAAACGTCGCTGCTTTGATAAGCTTGGTCCTTGCAGTGAATCACACGTGCAACATTTCTAAGCTTTTGGAAAGCATATTTCATTGATAGATGACTGCCTAACATACAAAAATGGTATAAAATAAGGAGCACGCACCTGTACACAATGTGGTTAGACTAAACAAAAAATATGTACCTGGTGTTCTCAAAATTACACCAATTACCTTTTTTCGATCCAACTGCAAGCTGAACACAAAAAACGAATATGCCGCAACGAGAATTTGGTGTTATTTTATAAAATCGTGCCTGTGCTCGGTGATTTGGTCCGAACGGGTAACCGCCAATAATAATTTTTCTCTGGGCTCGGGCGATGCTATCGAGGACCAATGGCGATGGCGGTGCCCTGGGAAAGCACGCACTGTTATTAAGGGCTATTAAGTGTTATCGAAGGCGATGCACGGCACCATGGCAGCGCCGTGTCTATGCCGGCCGCGCAGCCCACAACCTATCATTACCGGTTACGTCAAATTTTTATACGCAAGCCGGCAGCAAGCACACCATGGCCTGGTGAGGTTGTTCATGGGCTCACGAACTTGTTCTGTCTCTCGTTATGTCGATGAAGCCTTCCGGCGACGAAAGCCATAGGTCTAATCTACGAGGGGCACTGCATGTACAGCAAAAAGGGAGAAAATAAATATCTATATCACACGTACATCTCCAGTTGGGCATAATTTGGAGTGTTTTAATTGTTTAACGAGAAAAATATATCATAAGGTAAATGGGTACTTTTGGCGTTGTTTCTATATTACGCGATCACCGATAAATCCGGTTACTCTTATCAGACGTAATAATTTGCAAAGAATGGTGTAAAAATTCCAGGATATTGGGCTAAGAGGCTTGTTGTTTTATTTTCTAAAATGAGATTCTATCAGTTGATATCCAATTGTATTTTTTATGATTTCATTTGAGTCTGTAGTCTGCTAGACGCAGTATAAAAAAATATGTCAAAAGCCATTGGAAATTACTTTATCAAATAAATGACACTTATTTTCGCACAAAACTGATGACATGGTCAAGTTTAGCTTAAACTATTCTTCCACTATTCTTCCACTATTCTTCCATACAAAAATAAATGCAAACCTGAATAAAATATACAAATGAAGAAAAGACGTAATGTAACAAAAGTATTATATATATATATATATATATATATATATATATATATATACAGTGAAAGCTCTCCTTGCGGACAGCTCCTATAAGCGGACATCTCTTTTAACCGGACAAAGTTCCTGGAACCGAATTTCAGCCATCAATTTTCAATGTTAAATGCATTCCGATAAACGGACGCTCTTATAAACGGACGCGGACACTAGATTTTCCTGTATGTGATCAAAAAATCTCCCATAAGCGGACGCGAAACTCTAATACCCGGACGAATTTTTAGTTCCGCTTATTGCAATGCACATATCTACATACATA